ACCTATGGAGGCAACTTCGCGCTGACCCAAACGACCTAATTACGTTCCCTTTCTTTCTATCGCTGCAACGAACAAATCGAGGAGCTCGTCCCCCAAATCGTCCCAACTTTGAGATGACATTCCTTTTTACCATCTCTAGCAGAGTGGGATATAGTCAGCCAAATGTGTGTCCACGTAGGTCACTCCCAATGGGGGGATATTATACACCCGCTGGAATATGCCCCCAACGGGAGAGGCTATTCGATAAGCAGCAGGAAATACCTGGTCAGGCGAAGCGGGAACCTGCACGGTACCCAGTGCCCCGATCGAAACTGCATTTCTTTTCCGTACCGACAGACGAAGAAGAATCAGTCGGGAAGAAATGACATAATCCCGTTCTTGTGAGTAGGGATCACCAATAAGTGCAAACCATGCAGCAGACACATACATCGGTGTGCTCGCCATTATTGATTACATATGTGTACATTCCTAGTTATGTGCATGTACTTGTTTAAAAGTTTTTTCCCTTTTTTTTTTGGTGACCCCTCACGGTGATACATCCCGTTTTATATTTCCTATTTGTGCCATTTTTGTTATACGCTACACTGATGGTAACGATTATCCATTACCGTTAGTTGTGACTATCTATCGTTTGACCTTTTTTTTTTTTTTTTCTGCGCGACCATCAACTGAGCATAAGTGAAAAATTTGTCCCCCCCTCCGTTTCAACACAGCCATATTGAGTACAATGAAAAGGACACATATATCTTATGCACCCATGGTAAGAAAGAACGGGACAGACGAAAAAATGTTATCTCGAGGGAGAGACAGACCCCCGAAGGACACACAGCTTTGACACAGGTGCTGTTTTTATAACCTCTCGCGTAACATGATCATGTGTGCCAAAAAAGTTAAGTCATCATTATGTGGAACCGATGGAATATTCCTTCTCATTAAAGGGGATGTGTGTGTGTGCTTACTCATACTCCTTTCATTTTTATTAAAAAGAGGCAAAATGAAAAAGTGTTGCCGTGGGTGGAAGGCCTTCAAATTTTATTCTCGCCGCGGGGAGTGTGTTATCGCTGATGGCAATCCATTTGGAGATATTCCTTCCAGTGAAACGTTTGTAGGAGAAGGCGGATTAGCAGTGGAGTTATCCAATGTCATCATTTCTTTTCTGTGACGAATGTGTGAATGGTCACACCGTAACGAGTCACTGCCAGTCACAGTGAGAGTACCACTCTGGAAGAAGCACACAAACTGCAGTTGTACATTTTTGTACAAAAAAAAAAAAAAAAAAGAGAACCTTTGCTAACACAGAAAATTTTGCTTTCTCAATTGGAACACTAAGCAATGTTTAAGATGAAAATCTGCTACGAAAAAAACGACGAACAAATTTTTCCCTTCATTCCATTTGATAAAAAGAAGAAGAAAAAAAAAAGGCTAAACAGATACAGCCAAATGACCTAACCTCGTGCTGCATCGGTACACAAGCAGAACTGATGCGACGAGGTAGGCATGCCCTGATGATGTGATTATGAAGGAGGCCCCCAAATGTACGACAAATTTATCACCGCCGGATGCAGCAATAGGGAAATAAAGAGAAGTCAGAAGTTGCAGAGGATCCAAGTTTAAACCAAAGTGGTACATATTTTCTGACCGCACCTCAATTTGTGAAAAAGAATCTAAGGGAGTTGATAAAGAATAAATGTTTTTTTTTTTTTTTTTTTTTTGCCCCTACTCATCGGTTTTCAATATGTGGCAACATGATTTTTTTTTTTTTTTTTTTTCTTCTTTTCTTTTCTTCACTTGCACAAGATAGTGAAAGAAAAATGATTCTTCATAACTGGAATGAGAGAAAAAATGAATGAACAACAAATGAAGAAAAATAAAGCATAAAACAAGAAACGAGTGATCTGATCGAAGAGAGGGAGAAGGGAAAGGAAAAGAAAGCGCAGCACTCGATCATGTGGCAATCACGCTGACGATCTAACGAGGCAAAGAACAGATGTGAAGCGTTGAGCGCCAAAGCGAACTTTCAAAGAATTTGCTCATCAGAGGAGTGATTTTGCTGCAAGCTTTTGACCCTCCCGGGGGCAGCCATTTGTCAGAGAACCCTCCCCAGCACATTCGACTGCGCTCAAGAGAAGGCGTCACGCATATATGTTATATACGTGCATATGTACATGCAGAGGTATATGCACAGATACAGTCTGCACCGATTCTTTTATGTACCTACGTCTTCGCACGCAAATATACTTCAGCGAAGTCAAGCCTCCATGGTCTTCCTGCCACCTCCGCCTTTTCGCTTCACATTCCACCCAAGCAATATGCGTAACTCCGTTAACGTCGATTAGGAAGCATAGCCGCTCTGCAGAAGCAGCCAAAGAGGAGCTAAACAAAGAACCATCTCATCCATCATTGAAAAAACAGCGCTCAATTGTGACGTAGTAGCTTTCCCCTTACAATTCTTCTACCCGTGTTCGTTGCTACGATGACTTTGTTGCCTTAGAGGCGAAGTACCACTGTGTAGAGCATCTCTCCCCCCCCGCAACGCCCCCCTTGGTAGAAACGATTTAGCGGCAGGGGAGAAAAGTACCTTCTACAGGCACAGAGGTCTCCCATTTGAGTCCCTCACTTCGCCAGCATCATCCCCCCACACAAACCAGACGTTCGCAATAAGATAGAAGGACATGTGAAATGTTACCCCCCACCGGTGTCCTCTTCCTCCTTTCAAGTGCATCTTTTTTTTTTTTTTTGAAAAAAAATCAACCACATGGTAAGATACAAGTGGACGCAGTTAAACGAAACAACAACAGAAGCAATCAGCAAAAATGGCAGGAACGTTAAATTTAAATGAACTAAAAGATGAACCCATTTTATTTTATGAAAATGCATTAAGTTATGTTTTTTCTAATGCAAGGGATGAAAACAAAAAAGATATCCCTGCGTGTGTAATTTACCCAAATGAGACAATAAAAATTGGCTTCCCTATATATTCCATAAAAAATATTAACAAAAATGAAAACCTAATAAACGATACAGATGTCCAAACAAACAGATTCAATGAAGAACCCCTCATTACCTATGCATCTGAGTCGAAACATATTTATCCCCTCCGAGTCAAAGTCTACTACACCGTCCTCTACATTTTAATAATTGCTGAGCTTTCTGCAATGATCTTTTTTAAAGGTAAACATGCAAGGGGGTATAAACCACCCTCCGTTATGTCATTCTTATACAGCCTCCCCCCCAATGTTTACTAACACACGTCTGTCACGAATGAGAAGTGGGCCCCGCAGCAGGCTGCACAGGCGTATCCTCGCGTCTACTTACCTATACTAACCTGTACACACCTTTAACGCGTGTACCCCTGTTTCATTCATTCATTCCTTTTTTTTTTTTTTTTTTCCACTACCCCTCCACGCAGACAATATAAACCGCACCACCACGGGAGAAATAAACGGAGGACAGATTTTCGTATTTCTCTTCATGGCCCTTTCACACATACTTCTGATCTTATCCAAGTTTCGAAAAATCAAGCCTTACGTATTTGACGTCTACACCTCCCTCAGTTTATTCTTCTTCATATTGTCCATCTTAACAATAAATTGTTTTAGTAGCTCTGTGATTTCCCTGTTGCAGTTTTTCATTTTCTTTTTGCATGCCAAGATTGATTATTACGTCATGCCCCACTCGTGCGTCGTTCCCCCCTGAGTGGAGCAGTGGGCAGTGGGCAGTGTGCAGCAACCGAGCAGCGTCGTCGAAGCGGCTACGAGGTCGGGCAGCACAAATGAGCCACTCAAATGGGCCGTCAAATGGGCCGTCAAATGGGCTAATCAAATGGACCACTCAAATGGACCCTCAAAGTGCGCGCCACAAGACGAATGAGGACAAACGCAGTGCACACATCGTAAAGTTTCAGTTTTAATTTTAATTCAATTTGCTGCATTTTATTATAATTTTTTTTTTTTAATTTTTTTTTTTAATTTTTTTTCCAATTGTTTAAAGTTTTTTCTTTTCCTTTTCACCGCCTGTTTGTTTTGTGCTCCTGGGCGCGCGGCTTCCCCCGGCACTTCCATTTGAGACGCGGCAAAAATGAGGGAAGTAGAGGGAGCAACGACAGAGCCCCTCTTTCGCCCCTATTTTCGCCCCTATTTTCGCCCCTATTTTCGCCCCTATTTTCGCCCCTATTTTCGCCCCTATTTCCGCCCCTATTTTCGTCTCCATTTTGAGCGCCGCATTTGCCAACGCCAAAACTAATGCCGGTCTAGCACGCTCCCGGGTTCATCATAAGAGAAGTCAACAAATGGAATGCCCCCCCTTATTGTTGAAGCTCGCCCGCGCCATGTTATCCCAAATATAGACGGGGTAGGGAATCGCTGACGTGTTCGCTCTGCCGCCGCGTCCACATCGGCATGAACATAAGCATCAACACCTGCTATGCAAATAAAAAAAAAAAGGGTTAACAAAACCACGTTGACTAAAAAGGGATTACTTTTTTTTTTTTCCTTCTTTTTGTGTCTTCATCCGGCTGGGCAGAGGCGAGAACATATTTTGTTCCCCTCATAGGTAATACGATTAGAGGTGCCCCTTCATCACCATAGGGGGGAGAGACTCACTTATAAAGCACTTCTCAGATTGGCCCTTACATTTATTGTGACGATATATAAGCCAATTTGGACGGGCCAAGGATATACCATATAGTAAACCCGCAGCAGAGGTGGATACGTCCTAAAAAGTACGGCGAACTGAAAGAGGAACTCCCTCGGTGACGCATCGGATGCACTGCTTGGGCAAGTGACACAGAGGGTGAAAGGGGCACAGAGGTTTTGGGTATACACAATTGAGATTGTGATATATGGGACGTGGGGAGTAAAGTGGTAGCCACGGCGCAGTCATAATAAACCAGGACTTTGCCATCCCACGGTTCACTGCAGCCCTTCCCCGCTTCTTCCCTTCCCCGCCTCTGCCCTTCCCTGCCCCGCTTCTTCCCTTCCTGGCTTCCTCCCTTGTTTGAGATGCAGCTGGGCCGCGCGAAGAACTCCGAGGAGGACTTCCTCTGCAAGGGGGAGTACAAACAGGTGTACCTGTGCCTGGACCGAAGCGAAGGCAATGACGCAGTGAAGATTGATATCAGTTACGACAACAATATACACGACATTCTACAGCTCGGTAGAGAAAAGTACAACACACAAGGAGAGTACATCACCGATTCGTGTGGAGACGTCATACATTCCATTAGAGACATAATCGATGGCGACACTCTCTACCTAAAGGATCGAAAAGAGAAACTAACCCTCCATAGTAAGGTCAAAAATAACTTAATAGTAAATGATTACATCGTTCAGAAGAGAATCGGTTCCGGTGGCTTCGGAATTGTCTTCCAAGGGATACACACCCAGACAAAGAAAAAAGTGGCCCTAAAATTTATCCCAAAAAGTAACTTCCTAGATGTGACAGATGTCCATAGAGTCTTCATCGAAATACAGACTTTACGGGGTCTGATTCATAACAACATTATAAAGATGTACGATGTGAATCATTTCGAAAATTACGTCTGTCTAATTATGGAATATGCCATTAATGGAGACTTAAAGAATTACATCCTTAAGAAGAAGGGGTACCTCTCTGAGAAGGAAGCTCATGATCTGTTCGTGCAGATAATCAGAGGAGTGTACTATTGTCATTCTAAACACATAGTCCATCGAGATTTAAAGCTTGAAAATATTTTACTCGATAAAAATATGACGTGCAAAATTGCTGACTTTGGATTATCCGATTTTGTCAATGTTGATCAGAATATTAAGACGGAGGCTGGAACAAAAGCTTACATCGCTCCGGAGATTATCTTCAATCAGACCATTAACTACTCTGTGTTCAAGCTGGACATTTGGAGTCTTGGCATTCTCCTATACATCATGACGCAGGGATTCCCTCCTTTCAAATACGTACAAGATGACATAAAGCATTTTGACAGCAGTACGCTTAACTATCCGAATGATATTTCCGACGATTTGAAAGATCTAATTTCGCTCATGCTGAACGTCGACCCTAATAAGCGCCCCATCATTGTCGAGATATTGAATCACCGCTGGTTTGGGAACTACACACAGGGGGGGTAGAAGCAAAGGGAGGGGTAGAATAACCAATAAAAACGGGGGTCCTCTACACCTACCACACAAAGACACGGGGGGTGAGGGGGGGGAGTCCACCCTCTTATAGCTGGGCGTGGAGCAGATCGATTGGATTCCCACGGTAGTCGCTCCATATGCTGTGAAGCAGATGAACCGTCCTGATGTTCTTCCTCCTGAAGTATCTAGCCTTGAGAACGCTCTCTCCCAAGGGATACCCACCCGAACTTGTGTTCAATGCGCTGTAAAGGAAGACGGCATATGGGCTATCCATATATTCAAAATAAATGTCAATTAGGAAACCTTCATAATCGTAGGCCTTCTTAATGCACTGGAAGGGACGATCCCGGTTGCTACTTCGTATATGTGTGTGTGACTCTTCCCCTCCCGTGTGTACCTCTTCGGCTCCCTTTTGTCCATTCCTTCCACTTCTCCCCCTCACTAAGGCATTCTCCTTACACATTGCATCCACCACGTCGTCCGCGAAACTGTGAAGATATTCTTCATTCTGAAATCGCCAGTAGTGCTCACTAACCAAGTGAAACACACGCAACGTATTGTACGAATCGAGGATGGATGAATCAATCAGATTGACATAAGACAGAGAAGAGTACAACAAACAGCAACGAGGGTCTCCCAACTTCTCCATATCAATTGCACGTAATAGACATTTCCAGAAATTGGCGTCTAAAAATCGATTAACGCAATAACACCATAAGATGTCACATATCTCGTGGTGAGAAAACTGATGCATCCGTTGCAAAATCTCATACTGTAATGAACTCAGCAGGGTGTATGAAGCGTAGAAGTACATATTTCCATAGGCGTACGCTATTTTGGCAATCTCCTGAGGGGACAAATCACTCTGCTTCTTCAGTATGGCTGACTGGATAAGACTGTGTAGTTCTCTGCTGCCGCTCCGAACAAGCGAATACGCATAGCACAAGTTTGACAAATCTTCCGATGAGAACAGGTTTAGGAAACGAGAACTCCCTCCTGCGGCATGGACGTTTGGCTTCCCCCCAATGCTGCTGACCTCGCTTTTGCTCGCTCCCCCAATGCTGATAACCCCCCTTTCGCTCGCTCCCCCCATACTCAACAGGTGCCGCTCAACCACCTCATGCATTTCGGTGTCGACGCGCCCATCCCAACTCACCGTCCTCCCAACGGTAATTGCTAACCCGAGTACACTGTTGGATAGCTGCTTGGGAGTCATGACCCGATGCAATTGCAGCGCTCTCTCCTTTAACTCGAAATAGAACTCATTGCTGAACCGCACTTGGGGATTCTTCCCTTCCACCATGCTGTAAGACCAAATCAGCATGCTAACCGTGTTTGCGCTAAAATTTTTTATATTCTCCAAAATCACCTTTTCGCTCTTTATCAGCAGAAAAGGCGAATCCTTAAAATACTTGGCACTCGTCCATATTCCGTTAAGCAGTACAGACAGGGGGAGGCCTTCCGCGGGATGATGCCTTTCTCCCGTTCCTTCGGTGAACTGGTGCAACATATCGGACTTGTGCAACTGGTCCAACTGGTCCGACTGGTGCAACTGGCCCAACTTGTCCAACTCGCGTCTCTCCTGGCAACCCACCCCCGCGGCCAGAGCTGCCCCTTCTGCTTCCTCCCCCTCAGGTGAAAACATATCAACTATGGCCTTCACAAAATTACGCATCAAGACATCGTCCGCCGCATTCATATTCTGCGAGTACAAAAAGAAGAGCTTCACCATCTGCTCCGGTGTCAGATTATTATACCTCTTATACACTTCCCCCTTTAAGTCTCTAAAAATCTGAACATGCTTGTAATTGTTCTTACTTACGTATTCGAGGATTTTTACAAAATTTTCATTACTCATGGATTTTACCTTCATTTGAACTAAGCTGAGGTATGTCTCTAGGAAGTTCTTACTTCCGTATCTGCCTATATGATGAATGTTTTTCTCCTTGTTGGAGTTGTTTAGATATATGTAGCCTACTTTCACTAGGGATTCTTCATCCAAATGCTTCATATTTTGCAAAATGACGTTTTCTGCTAAGATGCTCACTTCCCTTATGGACAGGAGGTTGATCCGTTTCGTTACATACAGGTAGTTAATAACATCTTTGCATGAAAAGAAAAAGATTTTTTTATAAATTACGTTTAGCACATTTCGGTACAACTCTTCATACTGTTTTGTCATGAAGGACGATACGTAATCCTTCCATGTGCTCTCCTTGATGTTGAATTTTTCTATATACTGCACGTAGTTAAGGTGTATCTGAATCAGCGTGTTCAGATTAACCTGTGGAGAATAATAACTGCTTGCTGTGTGGTCATCTACACCGTCTGGCAGGGAAGTATTTATTACATAGTTCTGCCCTTCTATATTATGCACTTCTCCTTTCGTCTCCTTCAATCGTTCAGAATCGTCCAAGGTGAGATGGTCCTTCCCTCTTTTATGGCTTACAGGGCTGGATGGACTACTTCCCTCGCTGTCCAATATCCTATCACAAATGCCATTCTGCTCATCATTTTCGTAAAATATGATTTCATTCTCCCCTGCTGTTCCTATGCCGCTTTGGCGACTTCCACCGCCATATCTCCCTACCCAGTCATCTACGTACTGGTCAAAGGTCACAAATCTGAACTGCGGATTGTCCAGCCTCAAAATGTCGCAAGATTGATACGTTTTGTAAAAATTAGAAAAAATAATTTCATACATTTTAAATAGCAAATACACATATTCATGATTTTTCATTTCGTTAAAATTGTTATCAAAATAGACTTTCACGTCATCCATGCTGTTGGAAAAGAATACACTACGTAGATTCTCATTATATGTACTAGTGGAATCTGTTCCGTGGGGTAGGAACTTTGGTGTTATTGTTCTCTTGATATTTACCCCCTGAGAAGTATCCGTATGCTGCACATCTCCTTCCAGAGTGCTGCATTCGTATATGCTTTTTGCATATGCAAAATTCTTCACTCTTATTTTGACTACTCCCCGGGGGGGGTTCCTCAGCAAGACTACACTGCTTATCCGCCCTGCATGGTTCAGTTCAAGCCGTTTTTTCAGCAGGTACATTTTAGGCTTCCGAAGTGGTACATTGTAAAAACGCCGAGCGTGGAAAATGTAGAAGAAAGGAAGGGGCGTGCGCGCCTTCCCTTTGTTAACATCATTGCGATGTTTTGCTAACGTGGCATGTGCTGTGTTGTTGCTACGTTGCTGCGTCGTTGCTTCGTCGCTGCTTCGCCCCATAGGTTACTTCCGCTCCATTTGCGTTATTTTACCATTTTGTATTTTTTTCTCACATTTAAGCTTACATTATTGCTCCTCCTTGTGCACAAAATCGATACTCCGTGTGGGGATCACCATCATTTTATCGGTGCTTCACTTCTTCCCTTCAAAGTATGCAGAAGAAAAAACAGAAAAACGTAAACAAGTAGCAATGGCGGAGACAGCAAAAGGGCAGTAACAGCAGTGCGTTTACTTTTGCAACTGCTGTGCTCACTTCAGAAATGTATCAAAAGAGGTTAAAGATAAACCAATTTCTGGGCATATTTTCTCACATTGTTGCAAAGTATGAATTTCTTTTTTTTTTTTTTTTTTTTTTTTTTTTCTTTTTTACGATTAAAAGTTCCCACTAACGGCTACTACTGAGCACTTGCTGTGTGCAACAGTCTGTGCCCTTGTTCAGAAGAAAGGGACTAATCAATTATAGAGTGTGTGCAGGGTTAGTATCCTCAAAAGGCATGGAAGAAGGAGCTTCAAATTGTCTTACAAATCTGCATTTATGTGTGCATATCTGCAGAGTCGCGAGCAACTTGGAAAGTACTACCATTCCTGCTTGACAATGGGTGGGCGGTTATTACCCCAATGCGGTATTTTCCTCCCCCCATCACCCCCTCCTGCAAAATTATACACTGCGGCATCACAACGCATGTAACGGCATCGAAACAGTACAAACTGAAATAATCAAAAATAAACAATGAGGAAATAAATCATGTAACTATGGAAAATAAATATTTTTCCATTCACTGTGTATGCCTTGAAGTGTGTTCACGTTCACACCTGCACACGCTAAAAAAAAAAAAAAAAAAAAAAAAACACACTTTTGTATTACACATTTGTCTGCACATGTAAAAGTTGACACAATTGTCGAGTTGATAATACATGAATGTTCTTACCTTCTAGCTATTTTTTTTTTTTTCTTTTTCTCATATTGCTGTTCAGAATAAAATAAGCTTTTTTTTCTTTTCTTACCTTGCCGTTCAGAAAAAAATACACATTTATTTTTTTCTCATATTGCCGTTCACAATAAAATACACTTTTTTTTCTTTTTTTACCTTGCCGTTCAGAAAAAAATACACATTTTTTTTTTTTTACATGGATTTTCAGAATAAAGCGGCCATTTTGTCTATTTCACTTTAGCATACTCCATTTTAGCACTCCCCCGCTTTAGCATATTCCATGTTGGTAAGGATTACGTTTTTTATTTCCCCCAACAGATACGCGGACTATATGAAGTTAACGGCTCAGAATAAAGGGCACTCTTCATTCACCCCCGTTTATCCCGTTAACAACTCGTTGCAACTTTCTTTATGTGCTTTTCCGCAACGCAACTTAGCGTAGCATGGTGTGGGCACAAGGAACAGTGTATTTTCACTGAAACGGATTTTTTAGAAAAGACAAGATTGCTGCCCATTTCCGGAGCTATAACCGTGGTTCTTCTCCCCCCGCCGGACGTTAATGGAGAATTATTCTTACGGTTCTGGGGAAGGGAAAATGATACCATCAGAACAGAACATCAGCGACGTAGTAAGCATAAAAATGACGCTACAAAAATATAGCACAATAAAGGAAAAAAGGAATAAAAATCCTCCTTTTTGTGCCGAGGTTGATCATTCCCACATTTGAGATAAACCGTTGGGGGAAGGGGGCATACACATTTTGCACTTGCCAAAAAAAGAAAAAGTATTTGATTAGATCCCACCTTTCCACCCTATTCAGGCAAGCAAGAACGCGTATGAGCAGCGCGACGGCACGAATCTTCGGGATGGCACCAATCTACGCAACCCCAAAGACCACTCCGATTACGGTTTGTACGAACACCCTGGGGATATTAACCTCGTGGATCCGAATGGGTACGCCCTAGAGGAGACTCCCTACTACAGCCATGGAGAAATAAACACCACCCCCTCGATGCACCTGTACCCCGGTGCAGACATGTACTCATTAAGTGCCAACAATAGTAAAGGCATCATGGAAAAGCCAAATAATACCTTCAATATGGCAGGGACTATCCCATTAAAAAGGCCAGCAAATTACGACTATATAAATTCTGCCCTAAATTTCAACCAAGGCAGTTACTATAATCCATACCAAGTGAGTAACACCTTTCTCCCCAGCAGCGAAAATGTGAAGTACGGATTAAAGAGCGAAATGCATGGGAGGTATGTAATTCCGGAGATGAGCACAAAGATAAATAATTCCTACCTCGTGAACGTAAACAAAAGTAGCAATGTAAGTGGAAATATTGGACAAAATGGTATTAATGGTCTTAATGGCTATATCGATCCAGACAGCTACACCAATTTGTATGAACACGGCAGCGGAATTAATAGTCTGTCCATGATGAATGGCATCGCCAGTATGCCTGGCGTGGAAAACATCGCAAGCGCGATACACCCCAGTGGAGTGGGCAATGTAAATTACGATTTGCTGATGCAGAATTACAACGCTTCTTTGTGCCATAATATAAACAGTGTAAGCAGCGTGAGCAGTGTGAGAAGCGCGCCGAATCTGACCAGCATGGGTTATCCGGGCGGTTTGGACGTTTCCCCCTTGAAGGCGCAGCCGTACGGCGAGAGTTTTAGCAGCATCAATTATCATGGTGCGAATTATGCTGGTGCCAATTATGGTGGTGTCAATTATGGCGTTGCCGGTTATGATGGTGTCAATTTTGGGGAGGCCAATTTGGGGAGTGCCCATATCGCAGGTGCCCATTTCGGGGCTTCCCACTTTGAAGGTGCCAATTTTCATCCTCTGTCCAACGGCGAGTTTCCCCTCCCGTTTGACAAGAACAAAGGAGCGGACCTGTTAGGCGAGCGGGAAGGGAAATTCTCAAAGCTTAGAAGCACCAACCACACGGAGGGGAGCCATGCACACAAGCACCCCCCAGAACAGCTACAAGCAATACTATGTCTACAAAAGTTGGAAGAAATCCCGACTCCATTTCTAAATCTTAAAGACGTAAAATATTCCGTCAGCGTTTATTTTAACTCTTATGATGATATTTTGGAAAAATATCAGTCCCAATTTTACAGCTGCAGATTGAACGAATCCAGCTCCTATGCAGACTGTGATTTGAAAAATGAAATAATAAAATTACCATTCAACAATGAAGAGTTTATTTACCTAAAGGTTATTGAAACGTCTGTGTACAAGACGGAGGTAACTGGCAGATTGCAACTAAAAGTGAAGTCTCTTTCGCAGGAATATCCATTGAGAATCCCTATAATAGGAGATGATGGGAACTCAAAAGGATTTTTAATAATGAATTTTTTTATCACCTCGTCTTACTATGATGTAAAAAATGACTTGCTCATAACGGACCAGTCAAGTCTCCCTAGTCGGGCCAAATCGACAAGGATTCGGAGAAAAAATAATGGCTTCCACTTTTTCGAGAATTTTACAAAGTGGTGTTGCGAGATAACGGATCATCACATGAACTAGGCAAGTGCCATCTGGAGGTTACGAGAGCGTCCCTCCTCCCCCGTACTTTCGTTTGTCTGTCTGTTCTTCTGTCTGTTTGTCTGATTGTTTGTCTGATTGTTTGCCTGTTCGCTTGCTTATTTGCCTCCTCCGCTGGCTCTATTTATGTACACATTTCATATTACTTTTTTTTTTTTTTTTTCGGTTTTGCATTTGTTTCACTAAACTTCAATCTGCTGCATGCCCCAGTGATTCTGTGTCTCATTTGTAATTAAATTGCGCGTGGTGGAGCTGCTGACCTGGCTTTGCGTCCCTCCTCCCCTGGCACAGGAGTAGTCGAGCCCATTTGGAGCGGTGAAGCCGACAGGGAAAGGCCGCCAAAAAGACACATATGCATAGACATAATCATAGATATATGTATGTGTATATGTGCACACTTGTGTGTCTCCCTGATGGCTGCAGAATAATCCCGCCTGTGACTCTTTTTTTTTGAAATTTTTAGAATTTTTTTTTCACTACTCTCCTGACTTTTGTTTTTTTTTTAAGTTCCTTTTTCACGTCCTTCAGAAATTTCTCTTTAACAATTTTTAACATTCATGTAGGAATTTCTTTTTTCTCTTTTTTGTACCCTGTTCAAATTTTTGTGAACAAGCAAGCACACCGATGAGAGTTGCCTTTTACTGGCATTTCTCGAAAATGATGTCGTGCTGCCGTACCATGGCTGCTTATAAGTAAATGCATTAATTCATATGGACCAGGTTAGAGCATCGGTCAACGATACTGCTTTGTAAAGTGGTCTACAATTGAACATCCAACGAGTCTTTCGTCCACGCTTCGAATAGGGGTCACCCTTCCAATAGGGACCACTGTTCCGTCCAGAGTGCGACATATGCCGCAAGGCGATTTAAATCGGGTCGGGGGGATATACATGTTCGTCTGAGTTTTTCGAAATTTACCAAAACACTGAAAATTGGTGCATTAAGCATTTTTTGGCATAACTTGGGTGCATGATTATAAGCTTGCCTTTTTTAAAAATAAAAAAAAAAATGAATTATAAAAATTGTGCAGAGGCCACCGTAGCTGCAACTACAACAGGGCACACGAGACTGCACAGGGGCCTCAAAAATGCACATGGGCCTCACAAATGCACATGGGCCTCAAAAATGCGCACGGATCTCAGAAATGCGCACGGGCCTCAGAAATGCGCACGGGCCTCAGAAATGCGCACGGGCCTCAGAAATGCGCACGGGTCTGAAAAAAGCACAGATATGTCCATGCATGTGTGTGTAAACATATGGTGCATCTTTACATGAGCGCGTCTACGTACATGTATGTACAATTTGGCAGCGCTATGTGGTGGCTCATTTGCATTAAAAAAGGGGACATTAAAACGGCGCATCGTACGCATGGGCATTTCGCGGAACTCTTTAGCTAAAAAGAGCTTATGCTGTGGAGTGTAGTGAAAAAAAAAAAAGAGGTAAACGAAAATATAGCGAAAAGAACAATTCGCTCAGTGGAAAAGCCACCCACGCTTTTCTACATTTTTGTGTTTTTTTTTTTTTTTCTTCTTCTTCTTCCTCTTCCCGGGTGGAAAATAAAGGCTGCCCTCGCGCTGCAGCCATGTAACTGTGCATATCTGTGTGCCGGCTCGTGCACGCATAAATGGAAGAGAAAAAAAATATACTTTCACATGTCAACACAATTAAATGGTACAACTGAGGAGTAGGGTAAAAACAGGTGATAAAATGAACTGTTTAAAAAAAGGGCTAATTATAATTTTTCAAAAAAAAAAACATGGAGCTCGTGTGCACAAGGGGGAAAACTCCAAACATGTAACACAGTCGCCCCGTAACACAGTCCTCCCGTAAACCACGGGGCGTGCGCAGCGCTTCGTTAATAACCCAACTTGGGCGACTTGCAAGGACAACGGTATCTGAGTAGCAACTGATGTGCAATCAGGCAGGTGCACACACCTAAACAGGGGAAAAATGCCGCATGTGCCGGGGATGGAGAAGCAAAGGAAAAGAAGAGACTTTGTCAAAATGGGACTCCTTCCTCTTCATTCGCTTCTTCCTCGTCTTCTTCCTCTTCTTCGCCATGTTCCCTGCTCTGGTTCTACTTAAAAAGAGCAATTAATCCTTTGATTCCCATTTCCACACTTTCGCGTTTCCAGCTGCAGGGGGGGTAAAGCAAAATTGGGGTCGCTGTCAGTAACGTGGTGGCGCAAAAGAGGCAGCAGAGTTAACGTGTAAACATGCCGATCAGCAGCAGATGGACACAGACATATGTTAGGAATCTACCAAAGTTAGTGAGCGGCTCCGCATTGCTGCATCGCTCGCATGAGGCGGATGCTTCCCTCCTCTCCTAAGGCCGTGTGGCCAAAATCAGTACCATTAGAAAACAGCACGATGAAGTAGGGCCCGGAGAGCGGCAGAATAAAGTCGGGGTCGTTAATGTTAAATTTCAGAGTCATGGATTCGCGATCCTTCAAATATCCATAGGGATTAAACTCGGGCAGCGAAAAAGTGTATAACGCTTTGCTGGAGCCGTAAATAAGTATGGGGACATTCTTATGATTGGTCAGACCGGCCATGCAGAAGATAGGCAGAGTATTCATTTCGAAGTGGTTATCGCCTCGAAGACTGAATGCCAATATTTTCCCCTCACTCATGGCCGTGATGACATTAGCTTCGTACTGCATCACTGAGACGACACTGCCGTACTTGCATCTGACTACATTTACTATTTCTAAATTCAAGAGGCTAATAATCGTTATGTTGTCACCACAGACCCACAATGTTCGGTTGAATTTATTTTCCTCCACGTTACCATTGCTGTTAACATTGCCTGAAGCACATTTGGAGGAAATAATTTCGATCATTTTGAAGATCTTCGTTTTTGTTTCAATTTTCTTTATAGTCACAAAGCTCAGGTATGACTCCTGGTACTTCCAAAATTTGACTTCCCCATTTATGCTGGATGATATTATAATGCCATCGATGCAGACGATGCTGTATATAGAGTCTGTGTGCGCATAGAGTGTCGAAGAATCGGAAGAAGGAAGGTGCATAATTTTGATTAATCCATTATCCAGGCCTGCGAAAATGCACTCTTCCGCGTATAGTAAGGATAGAACCCTTTTCTTCCTCTTCTTCATTTTTTTATTGCCTTTTACTTTGTCATCTCCGTATTCCTCTTCCTCTGGGGTTAGTTCAAACTCGATCTTTTTCAAATGCTTTATGTCCAGCTCCTTCGATCCTTCTCCGGGAACGAAGATCCATACGTTTATTGTGTATGGAGAAATCGACGTGAAGAGGTATATCTCGTTGTTCGGCCCGTGTACTATTATTGCGCAATCGATGTAGGATCGTTGCAAAGAAAACGTGTCGACTAATTTTAAGTTGTGCAAATTTCTGGCAGAATGGAAGAAAGTGGGACATGGGGGGGGGGTGTCACCAATTCGGAGGAAAAAAAAAGGGGGGGGGAGGAATGGTAAATGGGGTTGATAACAAAGGACTGTGTGGGCTTCTTCGTCTGCCTCTGCTGTGGGGTGTCGGTGTGAAAAAAGGGGCAAAAGGGGCGAAGAGGCCGAAACGGGACAAACTTTCTACCAAATCATCCACACACAGAAGTGGCCAACAAATTATCGTCACCAAAGTGTATCAAAAAAATTGCCTCGCCATCATAATAAACTGGTTATGCGGGCACGCACATGCCTCGTATATGAACAGATTGATACAGAATGGGGGGTCGGAAAAAAAAAGGGCCTTCACGGTGGACGAAATCGATATATGAGATGGATGCACTAGCGGTTGTAGGTAGTGCACCGTTTGCTCTTTATTCTTTTCATTTTTCAGTTGTCTTTTTTGGCGATTTTTTCGCAATTTTTTCGCACCTTTTTTTTTCTCATTCTTTTAGAACATTTTTTTTCTCATTTTTTGCACCTTTTCTTTTCTCATCCTTTTCGCACATTTTCTTCATTTTTTTTTCATTTTTTTCTTTCTTCCTTTTTGGCCATGCACACGAACACACCCACGGCAGATACGCAACGAGAAGCAGCACACCACGCACACACGTTTCATGCAAACAAATGGATTACTTGCAGTCGTCCGAAAAACGGCACAGTCCTGAAATGGAGAAATGCGCGAAACGCGAGGAGCGGGGGGGGGAGGGCAGTGAAATGAATAAATAAAGTCAGCACGGGGAGGAAGAGTGCGAACGAAATCTTCATATGGCAAGCTTCCCACGGGACTCATAACCCCAATGCAGCAGTGGCAGGGGGGTCACCGAGAACACGTCGAGCTACGTATCTGAGAAATGCTCCCACATATCGAGCGAATAGAGATGACGAAGGAGTGCTATTCGGACAGTAACAACAAATTTCTTAACCCCTTAGAGTGTAGTGAGGGCAGAATGTTATTCCTTTATCTCGGTCTTTGTTCGGATTTTTTTTCTGATAGAAATTCCTCCTATTGTTGTAGTTGTTTTGCATTTTGTTGTTCCCATCTGATCCTGAAGGGGTGGTAGATTATAATGCGATATGTATGGCAGAGCAATGGTGGAGAGTTAAGTCCACTTTTATATGCACCCTTCTTGCGCCACGTCCACGCGCACTCATAATGCAGAGGTCATTCCTACCATTTGCATATCGGTACTGATTTTTATATCCATCTCGGAGATAGTTGCCCCTCATAGTTAATGCCTACATGAGAAGAAAAAAAAAATAGAAACATGATTACAACCAATGTGCATATAAAAAGGATCAAACATGGGTAGTAAACCTTCCATGCTGCCCCAAATCAACCACGCTCCCTTTCCGTCCGATGCCAACGTTTTTCGCCATAACACAAACGACGTTATTCAAAAGGGAACACTGTTCTATCATTCTACGCCACGTCGCTTTACACCATCCGATGTGTTATATATGGAGTCTACTGTTTGCGTGCCGTTACGCCGATCCCATTCACACGCGTGCGATGATGCTGATACGCACAGTTTACGCAGGCTCAACGACTCATAGGAACTGATTCGCGCCACATTCGATCGATCAGCACAACGCCGGGGTGCACACCATTTCAACCACGTGACGCAAGGTTCTCAGGGAATGCTCTGACGCTTGGCTCCAAACAAACGGAAAAGAAACAAAACTCACGAAAACTCGTTGCACGCCGCAGAACCATGTAGGCGCGCATAAATAATCTTTACTTCTATTTAAAAAGGATCTTCAAATGGGCTTTCATGACATAACGATATTTACTTGGCTGTTTGGCTGGTTGGGGGGCATGGCATCAGAAACCTTCTCTCCTTCTTCTTTTTGTTTTTCTTCCGTTTTGTTGCGCTAACAAAAGGTTGGTATTAAATATATGTACCCTGGGAGGGACGCACGTTCGAACGTATGTAAAGTACATAAATCTATGTAATTATACAAACGTATGCAAAACACTTCTCAGTGCGATGAGTTACAAATACAAATTGTTTGCTTCATGCATATACGCGTATCACACGAGTTTGCGCTTCACATAAAACACGACTCTCCAGCTTCGTTTTCGTATGGTAACGGCAGCATAAATATATAAAATTAATTACTCCTTAAAATGTTCATTACGAAATGTTTTTAAAAAAAAGAAAAAAAAATGACGTGGAAAAATTGTATAACTCACATAAAACAGATAGCCTTTTTTTAATTTTTTTTAATACAGAAGAAAAAAAAAAAAAGGAAGGAAAAAAGAAAAAAAAGAAAAATCGAATTAAATATGCAGAACATAATTTTACCAACGTTTTTTTTTCCTTTTTTTTTTGGGCGCCTTCCATCGTCACTACTTTTTTTCGCATATAGCGCACTGGCGGAAGTTATCCACAGCAAGTAATTTGACCCTTGGTGACCCAAATACATACGAAGATACGTAAATACGTCATAAATACGTACATTCTTACACACGCGTTATGAATAAGTGACGCATACTTAGCCCTCGTGTGGACATAATTTTCATTATCCCCTAAGGGACACGTAAGCCTTCCTATGCATATGACCTGGAAAATATACATAATAGCTCCCCTGCTGCACGAAGCAATCGCATTATACAAACCATGTGCCTCGCCACGCATGATTATATGTCCCTTTCTTTTTCACCCATTTGAATGGCGCCAATCGCGCTGTTTGTTGTGTTGAACGTAAGTTTCGCAAAACATTCGCGCAAAAAAGAATAAAAATAAAATTGTTACAACATACTTACCCATGGGCATCATATTGTCCCCCTGGCTTATGCGCTAATGCGGCGGCATATATATTGAAAATAAAAAATTCCCTAAATGGGGTCAATATAAAGGAGAAACAAGGAGGGAAAAAAGATATCCCAGCGCTGTGTTGTTAAGAAGGGAAAATATGTAAATCAACTTCTGTAGGATATATAATTGTTAAGAAAAAAAAAAAAAAAAATCAACGGAAAAGGAATGCATAAAATGTGGCCCCATTTACATATGGCGTACTTTTTTTCGCAGGGACCATATCATGGACATATTCACAACAGAGATATTCTCAAATGAACCGCTTCCCCCCTGCCGTGCATATGTGTATATGTACACATAGATAACGAAACGTATGCGCTAAAAGGATGGTAGATCCTCGCACCATATTGTGTTTCTCTTGCCTCCATGAGGGCTAGGTTAACTAAATGAAGAAAGACATACAGATTTCCCAGCTGCCTATTTTACCAAGTGTTCCCGGAGCGAATATATAGTTATATATATATTATTGAGACATGACTCTGATCATGGAGGCAACGTGCCGCAGGCACACAACTCTCCCCCCATAACCCCCTTGGAAGCCTTTCAAAGGAAGAGTTGCATATACCGCTTATATGTAGAACGAAAAAGGGGGATAACTTCTTCTGTTGCGTTTCCCTTGAAATAAAAATATTTACCTATATCAAGGTGTGGGGAATTTTCTTTAAGCTTAACCTGCTAACGTGCAAATGGTTACGTAAATATACTTGCGTACGGGGACAACATGTAAAACAACATCGTCATTTTGCACGCTGGTCAAAATTCAATATAGCATTTTTGTTTCACCAAATTTTAAGTGCAATGGTGTATTTTGCCATCAATGGCATCTCTTTACCGTTCCGTCAAATTATTTAGCGGAAAAAAAAAGTTTTCAAAAATAGGCCCATTATATTTTGTGCCACTACCACACCATGCATATCCGTGTGGAGACTGAAAAGATGTTATCTCCCATTTGACCAAACAAATTTAAGGAGAACGTTTTAAAAAAATTTAGCAATTTTTGACAAAACGTAAGAAAATTTAACAAATTTAAGAAAATTTATTAAAATTTGCCATAAGCGCTACTAAGCGAAATGATTCGAACAAAAACATGGATATGTGAAAGGCCTCTTTTCTGCGCATGCAAGAAAGCAGGACACTATGTTTCGTGTTTGCAAAAAAGCATGTACATAAATATGACATACCGTTTCGCCATACTGGTAAATACATACTCCAGTTATGCAATTAAATGGTGGTGAATACACCTGCTAAAAGAATTGTGTGGGCAGATCAAAACATCCTTTTGCAGAGAACAACAGGAAGTAACTGAAATAGTCTGCTACGCCGCGGTGTGTATGATGCTTTACTGCGCCACTTAACGTCTTTGTTCTGTTCGCCCCCTTTTTCCTTCTACGCTTCAATATAGCCCTGTCCGAGAAATAATCGCGCAGTTGAAAAAAAGACATGACCTGTTCAGGCTATTTGTACCTTTTTTTTATTTATTATTTTTTTTATTTTATGCAATCGCTTAAGCATCCTTTTAGCTAGCCTGTGCGAGCTACGCCGCTACAAAAATGTACTTAAAATAAATTAATTAAAATGAAATATATATAGGTTAATTAAGTTAAATTAAAACGAAATGAATGAAGAGGATGGGAAAATAAACAAAATGTAGCACTATGGCAAACGTGGCAAAATGAAGAGAATATCCAAAATAAGCGAAATATAGCAAAGTGAGCCTAGTCAGCAGAGTAAGCAGCATAAACGGGGTAAGCGGCATGAGTACAGTACGTTGAGTGAGCAGAATATAGGAAATTAAATCCTATTTAAAATTAAAATTGACAAATGCACATTCCCAGTGAACCGTCCCAAACGGATATAAATACGCTCATGATGGAAAAAACTACTAAAAAAAGGGCAGCGCTTGAGTACTGCAAAAGGGAGTGTTCGCACGACGAATTATTGGACTCCAAATGTGGGATCCACGAGCTTGATAAACACGCCTGTTTACGCCCGTGCGCACGTACTTTTGCATGCGCATTCACAAATGCACACATCAAACTAATATGTATATCCATAGAAGTCGTCAGAGTTATACTGATAAACGTAGTGTCCCAACAAGGAACAGATGGCAAACGAGTAAATGACGTTCAAGGCGCTGCCAACACACAGCGCCCGATTGGCATATTTACGTCTTGGCGAAGATTCGTCATATTTTAAACTAAACAAATAGGAGATGCAGCCTAGGAAAAAAAAAAAAAAAAAAAGGGGGAGAGGGGCATTAATGGAAAATACGTAATAAATGGCGTGCACACCTGTGGGCGGACGTATACCTCCCCAATCTGGGAACATTGCAGGTGCTACCGCGTATTAGAATGAAAGAAGTGGCAGCTATACATATGCATATGGATATATTTTATTCTTTTTTCTCCTTTTAGCAAACCTATAATGGGCAAAAAGAAACTCAAAACGGTAGAAATTCGAGGCATTAAAGTGCTATTCTCCTTTTTTTTTTTTTTTTCCGTATCTTCAAGATCCTGCAACGTCCAAAAGAAAACAATTTGGATTATAAAACATAGACGAAAGGGAAAGATGGGAAATGTAATCCTGCGCGGGAGAATTTTTCACGAACACGCAGTTTAAAAAAAAAAAAAAGGAGGTGAGGCTGAATTCATACCAATGATTTTTCATTCGCCGAAGGTTCAGAGGTGAATTTGGGTTCGTCAGTAAGTCGCCGTGAGTTCAAATTAAAAATTCTTTGGTACTCGCTTTTTTGGTACTAAGGAGTAAAAAGGAAGGACAAAAAAAAAAAAATAGAGTTGACAATTTTTCCGATTTATTCACTCGCGCAGTAATGGCCTGCACGCGGTGCAAGCCAATGGGCATTCAATAGGATTGGATGCGCATATGTTACAGCCGGTTGTGTGTGCCCCACGCAGTTACCTTTGTCAAATCCATATTAAACAGGTCGATGCTCTTGCGGTCCATCAGAATCGCATGAGGAAAACACTCGTCATCCTTCTCATTATTAATTTGTAAGGTATTATCCCTGTTTAGAAGGCTCATATTGAAGGCATCCTTCAAATTAATTATTTCCTTAAGATCCTCCGACGAGCTAGCCATTTGTTTGTTTCTTTCTTTTTTCTTAATATACAGGTATTTTCAGCTATTTTATATATAGCTATCTAACTATGAGAATTAAAATTGTAAATCGATCTTTGACGCTGAGGCTGCTTCCGAAATGTAACAATTCAGCATAGATATAAATATGCAAATCTACTGAGAAGGGTTAAGAAAGTATACTATACTATCGTTTTAATCACCTTAATATTAAAATAATGTTTTCTTAACTGTTGGAAGTACTTTTCTAATTCCCCTCGCACAAATATGAAGACGGTTTTTCTTTTTTTTTTTCTTTTTTTTTGCTTTGTTTAAATTAAAAAAAAGGTAACACAAACTCTCCTAAAATTGAAATAATTTTTAGTTTTAAAATGTTGTATGCAACATGGTATATGTACGTACAAACGTTTTAGTATAAATAATGAATTCTTATTGCGTATTTTATTGCGCCCGCTACCTTTAAAATGGTAAAAAAGGAAAAGGAAAAAAAAAAAAATAACTACGAAAAATAATTAATGTACAATGGTACCGCAAATTGCACCACCTGATGTAAATTAAAATTTGTTTCAAATTTAAAAAAAAAAGAATTCTTTCAAATCTTCCTTTTTTCTTTTCACACGCAGGAAGAATATATCATAACAAACGAAATGACAGATAAAATAGAGGGTGTTTGTTTAGTTCGTTAGTTTGTTATTTATTCTTTTGTTTCGTTAAGCGCTGCGTCATAAGTATATAAAATATGTTTTGTTGCCCTACGAGGTTTTCGTCATTTTTTACACCTGTTTGCTAATTTATTTTTTCAATACTTTTTTAGTTTCAAAAAAAAAGGTTGCTGTACTTGTTTGTGCTGCTATTACATAGGTGCAGCAAAAATGCCTCTGCGGAGTTGCAGGGGCATGCAGCGATATGCCAAAGGTTTGCAAACGAACGCAAAATAGTACATATTACGTGGCACATACGCTTAGCATATATGCACCATATACATACGGAATAATATACTCACGTGATACAAACATACACACTTTTGTGTACAGCTTAAACACATCCATATAACGCATGAATAAAAGATGTAATTCCAAAACGTGGGTAAAAAGGTATATGCAATTACATATATCACTCTCTTTTTTTGATTAATTTTCTTACACCGTGTTCTTTTCCCCCTTTTCAAATTGTGTACACTATAATTACTTTTTATTTTTTTTGCCTCATCTGATCACATCAAAATGTATCATTTTACTAGCAACAAGATTGAAAAGGGTGAAAGAGAGAGAAAAAAAAAGAATAATAAACAAAAACGTTGTAATCGTGTTGCAAAAAAAAAAAAAAATCCATAAATAAATAAAAAAACTATTAAATGAATTAACACACATACACTGCACAACTATAAGGTGAAAAAACTTTGGTGCCATTCTCTCATTCATTTCCTTTTATTGTCCATATCTACTAGGCATTTTACGCCGTGTATTCCCTGCGAGATGTTCGTGAACTAGCCAAAAAGAAGGGGATGTCCGTGTGTGTTACTCACATATGAAATGATCTGCCTTTTTACATTCGCATTTTTGTGTGCGCGAATGCGGTTTGCCAAAGACACACAAAGGAGATCAAGCGCACAACACATACATGCATAGAAATAAAAGCGGGGGGCAAGCACGGTCGCACAGGTGTTTGAACCTAACGCGACACATGACTGCTGGACTCAATTTCAGCTTCTCTCAATTTGTGTACCATTTTAAATGCCGCCAGGGGGGAGGAACATAATAGGGCATAGTGGGCTGACAAGAAAAAAGAAATAAATAAAATAATAAAATCAAAGAATAACAAAATAGCAAAGTAACGAAATAAATATGAGCCACAAAATGGATAACAGAGGCAAGGCAAACAAAACCAAATGAGGAAAAACGCGCTACTCGCAGAAATCACACAGACGCTAGAATTCCCGCTTCTGGTTGTGCCATACTTCCGTCCTCCCTTATCTTTTCCCCTTTCTTAACTTACCTATTCTGTGGAGGACGTCATTTGGGGGCGTGACCTTAAACACGTAGGCGGAAAACCAGAAGGACTCATACGCGATGATACAAATGACCATGACGACTGCGCGGAGGGGCAAAGGTGTGTCCATAGGTATGTTCATATGCGCATACGTATGTACATGCATACGTACATGCGTACATATCTGTGTGCGTATTCATACGCGCGCGTATGTGTGCTGTGCCCGATTGTGCGCATACCCTGCCACTCGTAGTACAGCTTCAGCAGCCGGTTGCCCTTCTCGATTTTCTTGTGTGTTTTATTTCCTGCTATGGCGCATCTGAAAAGGAGGGGGCGAATTTGCCATGGGGCGTACGCGCACACATGTACGTGCACTGAAGCATTTTGAAGGGACTCAAAATAGTTTCCTCCTTACGATGATGAGTGAAAGTAGTGCCCTGCTATGTCGGCAATCATGATTAATCCTATCGCTGCGAGGAGAAGAAAAAAAAAAAAAAAAAAAAAAGGAAAGCATCATTTAGTTCATCCACATAAGATGGAACGCATCCCCATAGGGACACAACAACGACAGATTCTTTGTACGGTCAAGTAACGCGGCCACTGCGACTTTCCCCTCCTGCTACTGTTGTGTTAACTCCGTCCAATTCCTAGGCAGTTTCGCTCCTCACGTTCGCTTCGGATAGCTTACCAATAATGTACTCATCGTAGGCGTTTCCATTGAGGAGGTACAGCAGGGTTGTAGACAGTCTAAAGTGACGCACAAGAGGGGAAGAAAAAGGAAAAAAAAAGTACACTGGGTGATTGCACAGAGCTAGTGCAGATTTTATAGTCGCGTCCTGATTCTCTACAATACTGCACAGAGTGAGCCATTTATTCTTCTCCTTTTTTTCGAAAAGTGAAAATAATGGCTATCTCGCTGTGGGAACCCAAAACGGTAGGCCTACCTGTCCGTGATTTGATCTAATATTTGGCCGAAGACGGAGGCTGTGGGAAATAATATGTGCACATGCATGAATATGCATAAATGGATACACACATGCGTATGCACACATGTAGATACGTATGTGGGCACTCTTGCTCCACGCCGGGCGCGCCTCTTCTTTCCCTCTAGCTGCACCCACTTTGATTAAACTTCCTCGCCGTCCACCCATCGAAGGCATCTAGCAATTGGCTCGTGCCGTAAAGAACGGCAAACAGAATTAAGTTCTTCCGACATATCATGAACCCCCACAGAGCTAGTATCACTCGGATGTAGCCTTTGGAAAAATTGGGGGAGGTGAAAAGGTGGATGCGAATGAGTCGTTGCATGGATCCATAAGCATAAAAATGCCTTACGGGCAAGAAAACAGAGTAAGAACAACGGCATGCGCAGACCTATTCTGTGCTGTGCTCGTCTGAACGAGTAAACGTAACAGTTCCATAACGGTGCAGTGCCCATTCTTGTGCACCCACACAGGAGCGCACGTATACAGGTGTCTCAGCTAACCAATGATATTCGGTATGTAGAAATACACACTTAGCTTTTTCATTTTAAAAAAGCGTTGAGTTTTCGGTTAAGCGGGTTGATTTATTCGAATGTGTGAAGTTCTGCGGGGAGCGGCTCAGCTTTTTTTTTTTTTTTTTTTTTTTTCTGTCTTCTCATGTAGCAGTCAACCCAACTCGTCGCATTGAGAATTTAGAACAATCGACACGTAACTTAAATGAAGTACTAATATTTCGGAATCTTCTGCATACTTGTGCTGTTTACAAACACACAGGAGGAGGGTTTTTCATGTAACGACGTGATGATCAGAGGCATTCTCACCGTACGAAAATTTGCGTACATATTTCTCACCCGTCGAATTACATGGTGTGCCACAAAAAAGGAAGAAAAGAAGGAGGGAGAAGAAAAGATGCTTTATCTGTTAACTAGTTGGCAAATGTTAATAAAACAGACGAAAAAACGAAAAAAAAAAAAAAACAACTACAAAAACTTCGAACAAGGATGTATCTCCCCCACTGATTGTGGCGAACAAATGAAATGGCAAAACTGCGAGTTGCAAATTGCGAGTTGCAAATTGCGAATTGTATACTGTGTGATGCGAAATACATCCTATTTTGTGACCCCCTTTTACTTTTAAAAAAGAAAATTATAAGAACGGTAAAAGGAGAAAAAACAAATTTGTTCAAAGTGCACGGCCATCTTTTTTTACACTTGGCAGGAATTTTTAATCGAGTCGGAGGGGCGCACTAACAGTCTTCAGCTTCGACTTGGTGCTTCCGCTTCGCAGATTCAGGTTCTCCGTTTCGGCTTCTCCATGTCGGCTTCCCCGCTTCTTCTGTTCCTGTTGCGTGTGTTCTTCCCCCTTCCGCGGAGACTTCTTCGTATACGTTTAACCAGAGGCGTGTAATTGTGCCGATGCACAGGAGCATTCACTTGCGAATTCTCAATGCATAAAAAGTTTATCTGGGCCTTCTTCCTTATCCGCACTCCCCCCCCTTTGAAAACTTCTCTCCACCTTAGTACGTTAAAAAACGTTGTGATATTTAAAATGCATTCCTGGGCTGCGTAATCGCATGTGCTTCCCTTATGTAGGGAAAATTATTCACCAAAAAAAAAGAAAAAAAAGAACATTCTGAAACAAGGGCGCTCATTTTTGATTGCACTTCGGCGAGAGTTCCTTCCTTGATAACAATCATGCGATAAATAAAAATTGCAGAAAAGGGGAAATTTCTTCTTCGTCCAGCTGCCCTCCCCCCTTTGAGATAGCAACACAGTCCCACGAGCACGAGGAGGCAGAAATAACCCCTTACAGTTGCCACGTGAAGAGGGGATGCTCCCCTTCATGCGACGAAATGAGACAAACGGGATGCAGCACGCCGCGTTGGAGCCCCATTCGCAGGATCGCAGCTACCCATCGCAGCTGAAGGGAGGAACAGTGACGAACAGTTGAGGTGCCCACGAACCGATGCGTAGAACCCCCCCAAGAGACGATCCCGTCCATTGGCATAACAAACGTGTATACTTTCCCCTTCTTATGAGGTAACATCTTAATAAAAATTACTAAACCCAGTGATCCCTCCAACATGCTGGTAAAGGAGAACCACAGCGTGATTCTCTACACGGATGAGGAGAACATTGATTTGGTGAAACTCACAAGGGATGGAGTCTTGACAAACAAAAAAGGCACCTTTCTACATAAAGACGTAATAGGAAAGAAGTATGGTAACAGAATATACGATACTGCCAGTAGAAATTATATTTATGTATTGAAAAGAACCCCCGAATTTATTGCCCTAAGTTTGAAGAAAAAAACACAAACATTGTATGAACATGATATATCTTTTATCTGCCTATTGTGTAATGCTCTTCCTAATAAAAAAATAATTGAAGCTGGAACAGGCACAGGTTGTCTAACTTACGCACTGGCCAGTTGTGTTTTGCCAAAAGGGATCATTCACACGTTTGAATATAATGAAGAACGTTATGAAGAAGTACGAAACGAATTCTCCCATTTCGAAAATGTGAGAAATAATATTAAATTTCACCACAGAGATGTCATAAATGATTCCTTTGGAGAGTTTAAACCGGGGGAAATAGATTCTGTCTTTCTCGACATGCCCAATCCATGGCTTTGTGTCCCTAACGTTAAGGAAGTCCTCAAAGAAAGAGGCGTTTTCGTCATATTTCTTCCCTGCATTGAGCAGGTCTACAAAATTATTGAAGCATTAGAAGAGAATGACTTCTGCGAGATTGTTACCTACGAGCTGGTAAACAAGTCATGGGAGATTATTCGCAATAAAGGGGCCGCGTCTGGCTCGAAGCGGGACAGCCATGTCAACTTCGAGGGGGCTACTCCAACGAGTGACCCTTTGGATGAGGCGAAGAACCGCCACTCCCCGCTGGAAGGAGCAAACCCAATGTTTAGACTCCGCCAGAAGGAGAACAAGACGCATACCGGGTATTTGATCTTTTCCAAGAAGCAGCTTAGCGATGAGAACGAGCAGATCGAAATTCAGCTGAAGGGTCTGTAGCGGTTACTCGGTTGGAAGTTACGTGCTGAGTCGATACGGATGGAAGCGAGGGGAATAATACGCATGGCGGGGCGGGCAATAATAGGCATGGCGGCGCGGGGAATAACGCTCATCCCATTTGACGCCTCCCGCTGCGTCTCTTCCACGTGACTCATTTGTATTTACCTGACCGTAGGGCCATTTTAAAGTTCTCACGAGATGTATCTTCATAGTGGCAGCAGGAGCCGCACCGCCAGCCGCAAAATGGTAAACACGAAAAAAAAAATCCGTAGAGGGGAAAGAGGGCCCGTGCCGCACCTACATCAGTGCAGGTCGCGTCGCCCGCGAACCAAGCGCAGATACCGCCTCTTGTAGGATATTTCGTCACTGAGCTGTTTCTTGACCCGTTTTTCTTTCTCCCCCCCACAAGGGTTGAAGCCCCTTCTCATTTGAACGCGCTTCATATTTGAGTTCAGATTCTCCATGTGCAGCTTCACTTCATTCCAATTTTTATCACCAAGGATAGACACCAATATCTGCAATTGGATGTCCTCCAGAATGTTAAATCCTATTCTTTCCAGTTTGACTCTTTCTTCACACTGTCCATACATTTTTGTCAGCCTTATAAATTCCATAAAACAGGAGAGGGGACTTCGATTTGTGTTTAATGCTCTTGCTATGCTAGTCCACTCTCTGTTTTGATACTGTTTGGACAAACTTAACAGATTTTCCTTCTCTTCCTGGTGCCATTTCTTCTGTTTTGGATCTTCAAAGCAGCAGTGGTAGAGCCACGTCTTCTGACACTCCCTTCCTGTCTGCGTCTTGGTTAAATTTGCCGCGACTTCGTTCCAAAAATGAGTTGAAAAATCGGCGAAGCTGGTTATTCCATCTGGAGGTGCACCCGAGGGGCAATCAGTAACCCTCCCCCCCCCTGCTGTGGATAACCTCTGAAATGCATCAAAATGGAATTTAATTTTGGAGAGTAAATTTTTGACATCCTTACTATCTTCGATCTCTCTTCTCTTCTCCACTTTCACATCGTAGGCTAAGTTTGGATCGATTAAATATCTTGTTGCATGCCTTTTGCACGTTTTCTCCACTACCTCGAAAAGAAGCCCAATTTCTCTTTTGGTCCATTCGCTTTTTTTATATTCATACTTCTTCCGATAATTCGCTACATTCATTTGAAATTCAGTAATCTTCAATGCGTCTTCATTGGATGGAGGAAATCCATGTTCTTTTTGGTAAAACATCGACATGTGTGTTCTCCCTTGTGCCTTTTCCCAATTGATCCTTGTTGGCTTCTTACTTGCCAGCGTCTTTATTTCTTTGTATTTTCTGTCTATATAATCATTCAGCTGTTCTATGTTTCCCTTTGTCGTTTCAATGAGCTTTTCCAGGACACACAGCTCCTTCTCCACTCGCTCCTCCAACGCGCACAGCTTTTCGAACTCCTCCGCGTCGTCCTCGCACGCTTCTCGCCACATTAGCGGCCGATTGACATGCACCACTCTGTAGAGGTGCTACGTAGGAGAGGGGAAATTACCCTCCTAACGTTGCCAGAGCATCCACGCAAGGAAAAAAAAAAGAAAAAACTTCACAAAATAAGCTGCACACAACGCAGTGGAAGGGGGGGTAAACTCAAAATAGTGTGATAAATCTCGATTAGTGAGGAAGCTCTCATGTAGCTCTCCTCATGTGAGCCTTCAAATTGACCAGATAAACAGATACACAAGTGCGTGGTTTTTCATGCCGATCGTATCCCTTGCCGGGGTACTTACTCCGCATAATGGCTGACTGAAAAGTAGAAAAAGCGATGAGCCAAAAGTTGCCAAGTCAAGGTGGTTCCTTCATTTGCTGCTTCCTTCAGTTGCTGCTTCCTTCAGTTGCTGCTTCCTTCATTCGCCGCTTCCTTCATTCGCCGCTTCCTTCATTCGCCGCTTCCTTTTACATTCCCTTTGTTTGAATAATGAATGCGTGGAAATGTTCAGTCCCAGGCCCTCTCCGCAATGCGTTTCCACCTACATACGGTTAAACGTATGGGTGTATCTCTGCTCATCCATGTGTATAAATTCTTTTTTTTTTTTTTTTTCACTTCCCAAACTAACCTTCTGAAGCGCCCCCCCTTTCGCACTTTAATTCTGATAGTTCAGTTGTCCGGCTTAAAATTTTTCCACAGTTGCCCCTTTGCGCTTCCCAATAGGGGATCTTTTTTTTTACGCGAATTGATCAAATGGTCATTCCTAGTGGGGTGTCCACTTGCGCCACTCTGCTGCATATGCACAGGTTATAATTCCTTTCCCCTAATGACAGTGCGTTACGTGCCTTCCTTCCACACGATGTGGTCGCTTAAACCTGCCAAGCAGAGCCCCTAATTTGTGCGTAGCCAACCAGTTGACATTTTCACCATTTGCTTCTTCCCTCGCCGATTTGACGACAAGATGGCGTTGCTTTGTCTGTGCGCAAAAATGAACCACTTGTGAAAAACTCATCGTGTGCAGAAATTTTTAAAAAAAAGTGGCGACGCGGCGGAGTGGCAATGGGAGGTTAGGGCATGGGTCATCTGGAAGAGAAAGCGCAAACAAGGTGGAATTAATAAAAAAAAAAACGGACGAACTTATCCGACATGCCACATGCGCGACGTGCGAGGGCGCTTCAACCTTGGGAAAGATACATGTGCATGGCCCTACACCCTTGCGCTGTTTTGCGGGGCCGTTTTGTGCGGCGGCTTATGGATCTGTTCCATATTCTACGCTTCTGGAACGGTGGAGAGGCACCAGAAAAAAAGAAAAAAAAAAAAGGTCGACACCGGGTAGACGAAATCTCGGTGTTTCTTCCCTTTCGCATATATACTATGTCCACGTAGTTACGACTATGGATCTTTCTTTTCACACGCGAGAGAATAAAGCAAACCGCAGTGAAAGAGTCCCTTCGGAATGATTTTCTCCCTGCACCCATATATCGCAGATATGGCACATATCGCGCTTACAATTCGCTATTGTGCAGCCGCCCCCGCTTGGCATATGTAAGCACCAAACGGTACGACAACGACGATGTTGAACCCTTTCACAACATCCAGAGTTTCCCCTTTTGTAGATCAAATATTTATGAATCGGTTCAGCTGAAGATGCGTCGTTGCGTATCTGAGGAGGACAAATGGGTCGCCTCGGAGTGCGCTACTGGGGGGAAAGCCACAAAAATGTGAATACGTACATAAAAACATAGCCCTATCGTATGCATGTCGTATGCATATGTATACTGTGCATATATATATAAGTATCCATATTAACGGTATATCCTTCCTTTTATGTACCCCCCACCCACGACCGTAGCGCACCGCCGCATAATATGGGGCAATCCCTTTCTCGCATCAGCCATATACATGTGTATGCCGAGGGGCCGTGACGCCTTTTTTTCGTTCCCCTCACAATGTCGAACCAAATCCGGTGTTTATATATATATGCATAACGTTACAGGAATAGTGTCATTTTTTTTTTTCATTTTTTTTCGTTTTTTCTTTCCTTTTTTTTTTTCTCCCTATCACATTGTAATTTTTTTTTTTTTCCTTCCAGTAAAATAATTTTCTTAGCAGAAACGCATCCGCGTTCATTTTGTCGTTGAGAATGAATTGAACGCATGAGCATCGCAAAGTGGAAGGGGCGAATCGGAGGAAATGAAACAAAACCGCAAACCCGAAGAAGCAAAAAAAAACAAGCAGCCAAACGAAGAAGCTGCAAAACGAACAAGAAGCCAAAAAAAGAGATAGCCAGAAAATCAACCATTCGACCAGTTAACCAATCAAAACAATCAAAACAACGAAGGCGAACACAACAAACCCAACTGAGCCAAGTGAAATGAAACTCTGCAAAAGGCTCTCTGCATCCCCGTTGGCTCTTAAAAATACTCGTGCCCCATTTCGAGAGCGCCCCAAAAAAAAATGCATTCACATAAGTAGCTCCGCGTGAAGAACACTTTTCAGTGGGCTGCCTCATGTTGACGCGGCATGCTTATTAATGTGCGCATGTTGGAAGTCGATACACGAGCACATGTTACAGGCGTATGTACTCATTTGTACATATCAGCCTGCATATTCCCCTGCGGGCGAGGGCGAACCTAGAACTCAGCGACCGCTGCGTAACGTTACAGCGAGGCCACACTTAATGCGAAAACTGCAAGCCGCGCTGTAGCAATACATTTTTGCCATTTTGCCACTTCCATTTTCCACCGTGAGTCGTGCTGCTTGCGCTCACCCGCGTTAGCACCTGCCAATTCATCCACAACGCACGTGCGCCGCTTGCGTACGGAACAATTATCCCCCATTGGCGCAGGTGGGACGCAAGTGTTGTGTAGCTAAGTGGGACTGACAACAAAAGCCAGAGACGAAATCCCACAAAAGGGGGAAAAAAGAAAAAAAAAAAAAGAAACGCACAAAATAAGGCACGTTATGCATGACGAGCAAGGTTGTATGATAAATCCCCCCCGTCTAAACAGCTGTACCGTTGTACCGTTTTTGTGCTGCACATTTGGCAGATAGGAGCAGTGCACAGTGGTTACTTCCCTGAGGGGCGAATGCCATCGAGCAAAACTAACTGCGTATTTCCAGCAAGCACAAGGGTAAACAGAGTAGGATAAATATATGCATACATAGATACCTAAGCACTTGCATAATTTTTTCCCCATGGTTCCACCTCGCTGACCATTTTGACCGGCGCAGACAAAAGGAAGGTTCATCTGAGATCACGAAACATCCCCATTGAAGCGAAAGGTGTTGCTCGATTTGCAAGCCGGAGCTACCCATCGCTGACGCCTATCTAGCAGCGCACTGGTTGGCTTCTTCGCGCGGGGCTCCAGAAAGGGGGAAGTTCCGAATCTGTCGAAAGGGGAAGGTGCCCGAGCGATCGAAAGGGGGCGCGAGGGGAATTCTAGCCCCGGGTAGACGCACCAAGATAGAAACATCGCCACATCCACGCCGCTACACCATGGACGAACTGGAGGTGGCGATTCTGTGCCTCTACGGAAATGAGTGCGCCCAGATCAGCAAAGGCGAGGCACAAAAGTACTGCGAGAATTTTCAGAACAGCACGGACAGCTGGAAGTACTGCATTGCCAAGTTTGTAGACAGCAAAAGGTTAGAGGTGAAGTTCTTTTGCATCCATGTAATCATAGAGAAGCTGAAGGATCTGAAGGGAGAAGACCTCCTGTATGTAAAAGATTCCCTGTACAATTATATGCAGACGAAATACACAACGGCCAATGACGACCCCTGTGTGGTGAACAAGATTATCCAGCTGTACATCTCCTTGATAGAATTTCTTTACCCAAACAATATGAATGATGGGTTCAAATTCCTGATAAATCTGATCATGGTGAATAACGACATGAATGTAAAAAATTTGTATATCAATTTTTTCCTCAAATTAATGAATATGATAGATGTAGAATATATAGACAACGTGTATTCTAAAAAAGGGGTTCAGCTAGCCACCAGTTTGAAAGAAGCAATTAAAAATAACGATCTGCCAATCATTATCGAATGTTTGTATTTTATAATGAGTACAAACATGGAAGAGATTAGTGCACTTAGCATCTTTACCCTCTCTAAGTATGTCACCTGGATCGACATCAACTACGTGGTCAATGATAAAATACTCGCCTCCATTTATCAGTGCATTAATGGGCAAAATAACTCCATGACAGAGGCGAGCTTCTCCTTCTTAACCGCACTGGTACGTAAAGGAATGAATCCAGTCAACAAAATTCAATTCCTTGAAAATATAAACCTCATTTATGTGCTGCAAAATATTCCCAAAATTCTGGACATATCCTACGAGATGAACAAAAAGATTATGCTAAAGAAAGGAGAGCTGATAAACTACCTCTGTCTCGAGTTGGTAGAATCGATTTACGAGATTAATAAAATGAAGGACTATCCGATGAACTGCGCAAAGTACAACCAGATATGTGACAAGGGAACCGAGATGCTGTTTCTGATTTTACCTCACGCTTTGGACATATACGCGATTGATAACTTTTTCGTAGCCAGCACGGTAGAGAAATTCTTCAGTCTACTCTTCACCAAATTTAAGACCGTAATGGGGTCATCCTCCCCTGGGGAAGGGATTAACACCCAACAGGGAAGTCTTACCGCTTCGCCAAATGCGTATAAAATCCCACAGGCCAAAATGAATCTCTTTATTAATACCCTGATATGCAGCACGGTGAACAAATTTCAGTTCCCACCCTACATTGAAGAATTCTACGATGAGGAGGACGAAGATTTTATTGCCTTCAACACCTTTCGAGAGAACATCGAAAAACTCTTCCAGAGATTAATCCTCTTTAATAAGCTGAAAGCCATCGAAATTATTAAGAATGCGATTATTTACTTGAATGAAAATTTCGAAAATTTGAAGTGGAATACCATAGAGTCAACTCTTTACGCCTTCTACATCACCACGTCTATCTATAGTGACTACAAAGGGAGCACCGTGCAGGGGGGAGGAACTACACCCAGGGATCCCACCTCCAGTGCACTGTCCAGCACGTGTCTAAGCAAAACACCCACAGGAACGGGACACGCCAATGCGAGTGGCAATCCCTCCAAAGAGGTACAAGACATGCACAATGGGGAGTATAATAACTTACTCTTTGGCTGCCTCGCGGAGTTACTGAAAAATCGAAAAATTCTCAACTGCAGTAATAGCCTTATAAACATAAACCTGATGGAGATTTTCCAAAGGCTGAACCTTTTTTTCATCAAAAATCCAGAGTACGTAGAATACTCTCTTCATGTCTTTATTACAAATGGGATCAGATGCAGCAACAATAAGGTGGTAAAAAAGTCGGTACATATTTTTAAAAAATTCCTCAAAGTGAATTCTGTGGTAATATGCAACTATATGAAGGAAATTCTGCAGATGCTGGAGAGCTTTCTTGAAATCCCATGTGTTTATCAGCGGGTTGGTACCAAAAATGGAGCAGCCACCAATAATGCCAGGAATGCTTCCCTATCGGACATGCTTTCCCTTGACCAAGACTCCATAAAATCTGTCTACAAATATATCTACGCGGATGTGAATTACACCCATGAAGATCAGAACGACATTTATGAAATCGCAGGGTTGCTCCTACTGCACTATGATTATAGTCGAGCTAAGAGGCCCGCTAAAGGCGATTCAAACGACCTGATTCACCTTTCGGAACCGCAACGAATGCAAGGAATGCAAAGCGGAAGAGGCAGCCACGCCAACGTAAGCTTTAACCGAATGGGCAGTACCAACAGTGGCAGTGGAGGAGACGCAAAAAATTTAAACAGCACGACCTCCATGCAGAGCATCTCCATCGATCTGAACACGAGAAATGAAAGAATCAATGAAGAACTGATCCCAAATTATAAAGATAGGATCTTCTTTTTCAAGGGAATCTTAAATAAGCTACTGGAAAATCTAGCCAACATAAAAAATGTCTACATAAATTCGTCCAAGTCACAGCATGAGATCCTATGTCTAAGTTTCACCTGCAGTGTCGTCATCAGATGTATCGGTGCATTATGCAAAAATGTGAATATCAACATGACGGATGAGTTGATAAACGATCTAGACAACACGTTAGGGATTATCATCAGTGAAGCGTTAGAATTGTTTTACAAAAATTATATCGTTAGGGATTCTGTCCTCTACACGTATCGAATTTTATCTAACCTGTTTAAGGAACTGTCTCTCAATTACACCATAAAGATTCTTCCCTACTTTTACAACATATCATACAGTATGATCATGACCAAACTGCAGAAGGGTAGTACCCCTGGGGGAAGTACTTCTGGCGGTGCCATAGGAACATCACAAGGAGCTCTAGTGAGTCAAAATCAAAACCCATTACTCTCTTTCAGCATGATGACGCCATCATCACATCCAACTGCTGCAGCTGTTGCAGCGGGGTCGTCAGGTGAACCCTCAACTTGCTTCGCCGACTCGCAGGAAGAACTAAAATATCTATTTAGTGAACTTAACGAATTGGGCGTACTAGTGTGCCACCTCATATCGACGTATAAGGAAAAATCCTACGAGACGTTTATTAAGCCCTACATACAGAACATTACTCAGATTCATCTGAATATCTGGAAGTGCATAATTGTCCAGTCGCTGGAAATGCAAAGGGAACAGAACTCTGTCCTATCGCCACTCCTCATCATATTGTACAATATATCTTTAAACATCCCATCAGCAATTCATAATTTTGTTTCCCTCGATTTGATTGCCCTAACACATAAAGAATTTTGCCAGGCCTTTTCGAATGAAGAAATGGTCAAGGCAAAATGTCCAGATGCGATTACTAGCATTTTGCTTGTCTCTCTAAATTATGGCAACACCTGCGATTTGAATATCTGCCTCTATGCAGCACAGACCATTTCCAACATGCTGAATAATGCCACTTTTTTGCAGAATGCGCACGAGGTATGCTGCCAGTAAAGGGGTTGAATCTGCCTTCACCAAGTTTCCTCTCCGTTTGCTCACCCCATTGTGCGATTGTACTTACCCCATGCTGTACTTTTCCCTTCCCCCCCCGCAGGTACTGAGTAAATACCCCCTCGTCCAAATCATCGACACCCTGTGTGTAACGCTCAAGTCCCTTGATTATTCGGATCCTAAGAATAAGAGGGTTATACAGGCATGCAAACATTTCCTCCGCCGCCCGCGCGGCGACCCTTAGAAACGCGCAGCAGCGCGGCAAATTTGAATATCTGCAAGTGTCGCCACGCATGTGCAGAGTTACCCGATTGCACACTTACGCCTTTGTCCTCCTACACGATTGCCCTCTTACCCGAGTGCACCCCTCCACTCACGCCCCCCCCACTTCCCCTTCCCCATTACAGATAATCCAAGAGGTGATGAACATCTTCCGACTCTTCTGCGGCTTTAAAGTGAACGCCAACTGTCTGCCCAACAAAATTCTGGAGAGCGCTCAAATCTGTTTGCAGAATTCGCTACTTTCAGTCTTCAAGAATAACCGAAACGACATCGGCGTATTGTTACAGGTAAGCGCGACCAGCCACAGTTCAGCAGCGGAAACGTGCGCATTGCCACGTTCGCGCAAGTGACACGGTCTATGCGTATAGTACATACATATAGCACATAGTTATAGCCGTGTTATTTTCTTTCTTTTTTTTTTTCCTTTTTTAACCCTCCCGCAGGCCGTCAACGCGAATAATCAGCAGCAGTTCAGACAAATTTTGTCAAATTTTGTTGCGTAGGAAAGGAGAGGAAGCAGGGCAAGCAGCTACATAGCGGCCACGCAGCCGTGACATATCGGTAACACAGCAGCGACGTAGCGATCACACAGAAGCAGCATACAATCATAGAAAAGCGTATCGCAGAGAAATAAACAACGCTGCCTCTGCGCAGCCGTAAAGGAACACCCTCAACAAACCAAAAAAAAAAAATTGCGAAGCTTCCGAGTTTGCAAATAAAACCCGAGTGTAATTTTTCCACACTGTCGCATGAACTGTTCATGTAGAAAAATTTACGAAATTAAAAAAAAAAACAAAAAAGGAAAAAGTGAAAAAGTGAAAACTCATTTATGTATATTTTCACACCTGTTTGTTGCATAAATTAGACGTTTCTGCTAACTTATCAAATTCTGTATATATGTATAATGCTTCCCCACGTCTATGTCTATGCCACCCTTACGACAATTTTTTCCCCCATTTCTTTTACCCTCTTTTTTACCTTCTTTTTTCATTTGCCCCTTTTATGCATCCGAATTGTTTATCCTCGTCATGTAACGAAGTAAGGGTTACTCAAAACTGCGTCAATTTTTAACCTTTCATTTGGATTCCTTAAAATAAAAAAAGAAAAAAATTGGTATATTAAAGAGGGCCTCATAAGGGAAAAGAAATCCCAGTCATGCTGATTCCTTACATTATGATCCACCTTTGGTGGTGGAGGGCACCGTGCCAAGACACCCATACACCATATTGCGTGTACAACGACACACAAACCAAGTTTACCATTTCAAAAGGCCATCTACGATGCCAATTAGCTCCCGTTCACTGCAATGGGTATTATGTGATACGTGATTTTAACTCGCTCAAATGACGGTTAGGAAGCAAACTTTCGTAGGAAATGCATGTGGCAAGAAAAACGTGCCATTGGAGTTTCCTTCTTTCTTTGTCTTCCCGTATTGCAGTTCGTCCCCTTCGTGTAAATGCATTTCTCCCCTCTGCAAACTTCTCACATCATGCATTATGACGTAGTGATGTTACAAATTAATTTTGGGGGCGCCTGTTCCCTTTGGCCATTTTAACCTTTCCTCCAAGATGCCTCCCAGGATGGAGCTCCAGGACAGAGGTCGAATGTTCAGTCCGCACAGTTCCTTAATGAGACGATTCTGAGGAAGGGGGAAAGGGCACGGTGAATTGGCGACGCAAAGAAATGGAAAACTTGCCAAGCACAGAAGTGTCTATGTAGCCAAGTTCACGAAGCAGCTGTGGCTGTCAAAGACACAACCGGAAAGACGCCTCTTACATTCCTGTTACTAGTTTGGCCCTTTATACTTTCGTAAAAGCTCCTTGAAAGAGAGAAAAAAAAAAAAAGAAAAATTTTTTAAGCGATTATTTCACTGAGAAAAAATCAATTCTTCGTGACGACTAAATGTCTGTCTCTTTCGCGACGGTGTACATTCGAGGGGATCCCAACACTTCAATTAAATTTATAATTTGTGAACATTCTTCGGATATGCTTTATCGTGAGGAGGCGGAGGGGGGAGGAAGGAAGAAGTGGGTAGGCATGTCACAGGTTTAATTCAAACTGGTAGGAACCATGTCTTATCATTTTTAAAGAAAAAAGAGGCATTTCGAAAATGGGCAACCTTGCCGTTTCGCAACGCCTCAATCGGGCAACTCCTCAATCTCCCTCTTTCGCATGAGTACTAACTCGTCCTTTTTGAACTTCCCGGGGAACAGGGGGCAGAGGTTTATCAGTTCGAAAATTATGCATCCCAGGGCTGAAGAGAAGAAGTGAAATATGAAATAAATAAAGTAGATAAAGAAATAATTTGACTGACGAATGAGAAGAGCAATGCAGACAAACAGCAAAAGGGTCTCATCTCGTAAGACATAATGAGACTGAAGCGCAACTAACACCATAGGTCTACGTCCGTCTGCAAAAAGGGGGGGAAGAAGTGCAACAGGGCGGCGGAGGTTAATCAGTACGGGAATGCACATGGAGTCACTTTCGAGTGCACAGAAAAAGAAATTTCAAAATGGAGAATTCAGGCGAACCGTGTAATACATGGAGCCGCATAGCAGCTCAGGCGCCCGGTACCATCTGGAGCAAATGTAAGGAATGGAGATGATGCTTTCTTCAACTTTTTTTGCAGATCCTTCAGAGTATGGGAAAAAATGGGGGTTATTATATTGGGATCAAAAATGGGGGAAGAGCAGACAAATGTGCTTCTTCTCCTGAGCTTACCCAAATCGCATATTTCCACTTTAAATGGGGATATGCCTGTATCGATCTTTAGGAAGAAGAGAGGGGAGAGGCGGGTTGGAAAAAGAAAGGAGAAGATGTACTGTTGTGTCTGTCTTGATTTTCACCCATTGTTCGTCTGTTCGATTTTTTTTTTTTTTGCCAGCTGCGCAGATCGCTTCTTTGATCCCTTCCTGTGGCGCCATTACCAAAATGTTGTCCGGCTTCAAATCCCTGTGAGCTAAATTGTGCTCGTGTAGGTGCTTGATCCCTTTGCATATTTGGCTGATGAGGTGGCAGTCCAGGGGGAAGCATGTGTGGCCTCAGTTTGGTCAACCACTCGGCTAGCCGTTTCGTCCAGTGATGGAACATCTAACATGTGCCGAAGCGAAGACGTATTCAAGGGGTGGCCTCATTCGATCCTTACTATATTATCATTTTTAAGTCAGACGCAGCAATACGGTCTTTCCTGAGATGAGGGGAAAAAATGAGACCAATTGGATCGTCGTCTTTCCTTTTTGTGCGAAATGTGATTGATCCGG